GGAGCACGAGCGGCCGGGCGGAAGGGGAAACCATCACCACCACCCGCGCACGGCCCGGGAGGAAAGGGGGCCTTTGTTCGCCCTTCCTGGCCACTTGCACGGCGGGGAGCGGCGGCCGCTCCTCGGGGTCCCCAGGGGACGTGGGGACAGGGGGGGGTCACTGAGGCACAGCCCAGTATTGATGCCCTCCTCCCACTGCCGGGAGCGGGAGCCAACAGCTGGGAAAGCGATTTGTCCCMGTGCCGGGGGACGTGAGCGTGTCCCCTCCCGGCTGTGACACCCAGCCCCTCGCCAGGTTCTCGGTGAAAACCCTTCTGGAGAAATACACGGCCGACCCCATCGACGACTCCTCCGAGGAGTTYGTCAACTTCGCCGCCATCCTCGAGCAGATCCTCAGCCACCGCTTCAAAGGTGTGTCCCTGTYYCYGTCCCCGTGGTGTCMCTGTCCCCGTCCCCRTGTYCTGTGGTGGGTGGGAAGCGTGTCCRGYGCTGGTTTGGGGTTTTGCTGCCCCTGAGAGCAGCCCATGGGTGCCCACAGGCCCCGTCAGCTGGTTCAGCTCCGATGGGCAGCGCGGGTTTTGGGATTACATCCGGCTGGCCTGCAGCAAGGTCCCCAACAACTGCGTCAGCAGCATCGAGAACATGGAGAACATCAGCACGTCCAGGGCCAAGGTCAGGAGGGCGCCAGCCCTGCCCCTGTCTCTGGTCCTGTTCCAATCCCCATTCCTATGCCAGTCCYRGTTYCCATCCCATTGATCCCATCCCATTGATCCCATYCCATCCCCATTCCTATGCCAGTCCCGGTTCTGTTCTCCCTGACCGTGGTACATGGACCCATCTCCATGCCATCATGTCTCCATCCCATCCCATCAAATCTCCATCCCATCCCATGGATCYCATCCCATCCCATCCCATCCCATTGATCCCATCCCACTGATCCCATCCCATCCCATGGATCCCATCCCATCCCATCCCATGGATCCCATCCCATTGATCCCATCCCATTGATTCCATCTCATCCCATGGATCCCATCCCATTCCATCCCATTGATCCCATCCCATCCCAAGGATCCAATCCCACTGATCCCATCCCATCCCAATCCCATCCCATCTCATCCCATCCCACTGATCCCATCCCATCCCCATTCCTGCCCCCATTGTTCTCCCTTCTCCCTCCCCTCCTGCATCCTCACCCCACCCCACAGGGTTCCACGGGGTCAGCAGGAGCTGTGGGTCCCCCACGGGACCCTGAAAGCCCCTCCTGTGCGGGGACCCCCATCTCCTGGATTTCCCAGGGCGGGTGGGAATGTTGGGAGGGTGGCAGCTTTTTTTGGGGGGCACCCCGTGGCAGCCCCCATCCTGCTGCCCTGCAGGGCCGGGCCTGGATCCGCGTGGCGCTGATGGAGAAGCGAATGTCCGAGTACATCTCCACGGCGCTGMGGGACACTCGGACCACCAGGTGAGTGACCCCCGGCCACACTGACCATGGCCACACTGGCACCATGGCTGTGTGGGAGTGCTGGGGTGGGTTTGGGGTGTCAGGGTGGGTTTTAGGGTGCCAGGGTGGGTTTTGGGGTGCCAGAGTGGGTTGTGGGGTTCCAGGGTCAGTTTTGGGTGACAGGGTGGGTTTGGGGTGCCAGAGTGGGTTGTAGGATGCCAGGATGGGTTTTGGGATGCCAGGGGTGGGTTTTGGGGTGCCAGGGTGTGTTTTAGGATGCCAGGGTGGGTTTTGGGGTGCCAGGGTGGGTTTTGGGGTGCCAGGGTGCGTGTTGGGGTGTCAGGGTGTGTTTTGGGTGCCAAGGTGTGTTTTAGGATGCCAGGGTGGGTTTTGGGGTACCAGGGTGGGTTTTGAAGTGCCAGGGTGGGTTTTGGGGTGCCAGCGTGGGTTTTGGGGTGCCAGCGTGGGTTTTAGGGTGCCAGGGTGGGTTTTAGGATGCCAGGGTGGGTTTTGGGTGCCAAGGTGTGTTTTAGGATGCCAGGGTGGGTTTTAGGATGCCAGGGTGGGTTTTGGGGTGCCAGGGTGTGTTTTAGGATGCCAGGGTGGGTTTTGGGGTGCTGGGGGGCACACCCAGCCACACATTCCCTCGCAGGCGGTTTTACGATGACGGGGCCATCATGCTGCGGGAGGAGTCCACGGTGCTCACGGGGATGCTCATCGGGCTCAGCGCCATCGACTTCAGGTAGGGACAGGTGGCACAGARGGACACAGGCTCTGACTGACCCCCTCGGGGTTCCCTGATCCTCTCTCTGCTCCTTCTCCCGCTGCTGCTGCTCAGTTTCTGCCTGAAGGGAGAGGTGATGGACGGTAAAACRCCCGTGGTCATCGACTACACGCCCTACCTGAAGTTCACGCAGAGGTGAGAGCYGGGGTGCCCTCCCTGGGGTGGGGGTCCCTGAAGGTGTGACAGYCCCTGCTGAGCCCCCACATCCCCCAGCTATGACTACCTGAGCGAGGAGGAGGAGCGAGGCAGCGTGGAGAGCAGCACGAGCGAGGACAGCTCACCCGAGCACCCCTACCTGCCCCTGGTCACCGACGAGGACAGCTGGTACAACAAGTGGCGCAAGATGGAGCAGAAATTCCGCATTGTTTATGCCCAAAAGGTACTGGGAGCCAGGATGGGGCTGTCGAGGTATCAACACCCCCAGGATGCTCCAGCCTGGAGCATCTCCAGCGCTGCATCCCCACTGCCACAGTGGCACCCTCATCCCTTCATCCTGCTGCCGTGACCCAGCCCGCTCCTTGTCCCTCTGAATGGCCCTGGGGACACTGGGGGTGGTGGCAGCGTGGCGCCACTGATGGTGGCCTCACGCAGGGCTACCTGGAGGAGCTGGTGCGGCTGCGGGAGTCGCAGCTGAAGGACCTGGAGGCGGAGAACAAGCGGCTGAAGCTCCGGCTGGAGGAGGTGATGGTGCAGAACCAGCTGGAGAAGAGGGAGCTGGAGGGCGTCATCCTGGAGCTGCAGGAGCAGCTGTGAGTGGGGACTGGGCACTCGGGGGACTTCAGGKGGTCCCTGAARCCAGCGTGCCCSAYRGGRTCTGKGTGGTTCCCRTTGCCCCACARRCTCTGGGTGGTTCCCATTGCCCCACAGACTCTGTGTGGTTCCCGTTGCCCCACAGGCTCTGGGTAGTTCCCATTGCCCCACAAACTCTGGGTGGTTCCTGGTACCCCACAAACTCTGTGTGGTTCCCATTGCCCCACAGGGTCTGGGTGGTCCCCGGTGCCCCACAAGCTCTGTGTGGTTCCCGTTGCCCCACAGGCTCTGGGTGGTTCCCATTGCCCCACAAACTCTTGGTGGTCCCAGTGCCCCACTGACCCCGAGGGGCAGGGTGAGGGGTAGTCCCCTCTGGGGTGTGATGGGTCCAAGCTTCCCAGTGCCTGGGTGCCCCTGTGGGACACGCTGTGTCCCCATCTGTGTCCCGGTGTGTCCCCAGTGCCCCACACGTCCCCTGGGCCGTGTCACCCGGCAGGTCCCCAGCACCGGTGGCTGTGCCGGGTGCTGAGCAGCCGCCTTTGCTGCAGGACGGGGCTGATCCCCTGCGAGAACCCGCAGCTGACCCAGCTCTCCAAGGAGATGGTGACRCCCCTGGTCAACCAGTGGCCCTCTCTGGGGACCCTCAACGGCAACGAGAGCGGCTCGGACAGCAAACTCTACAGAAGGTAACCCCGCAGTGGGGACAGTGACCCGCACGCAGCGCCCTGCCTCAGCCCGGGTGGGACACGGGAGGGGGACATGGGAGCTGTGCCAGCCCCGGGGGGCTCAGAGCCATCCGTCTGCAGGCACAGCTTCGTGAGCACCGACCAGCTCTCGGCCGAGAACAGCCTCAGCTCCGACTCGCAGCRCCTGGGCGAGGGCAAGCGCGAAGGAGAGCCCTGGGGGCCCTTGGGTAAGAGACCCCCACCCACCGCGGGGTGCCCCAGGGCTCAGCACGTCCCCCACACCCACCCGGGTGTCCCGTGGCGGGGATGATGCCCCAGCAGTGCAGGGACACCTGAGTCACCCCGCAGAGGTGGTCCCTGTCCCCCCGGGTGGCAGAGCGGGGATGTGAGGCTGAACCCGCTGTGATGCCCCGCTCTGCCCGCAGGGAAGGACCCCACRCCCTCCATGCTGGGGCTCTGTGGCTCCCTGGCCTCCCTGCCCAGCTGCAAGTCCCTGGCCAGCCTCAAGTCCAACGAGTGCCTGGTGAGCGACAGCACGGAAGCCAGCCCGACCCGCAGCCCCAGCTGAGACCCCCGGCCCCCGCGCCGCYCCCCGGCCCGGCCGCCCGGCCCAGCCTTGTGGCACAGGACTGAGCTCGGCCCCCTTCGCCACCCCGGGACCAACGAGGGACTCGCCGAACCCACCGGGAGGCTGGGGATGGGCATCCCCCTCCCCATCGTGACACCCYACCCTGGCTGCGCCTCGGACCCCCGGCCCGGACCCCGGCTGGACACATGGACCTSTTGGGATGGGGGACCCGGGCGAGCTGGGGATGGGGGGAATGAACTGTGCCATGCTGGGGGGACACTGGGAGTGAGTGACCGCTGCTGGGGGGCAAAGAGGGGTTCAGGGCCAGACCCCTTCCAGGGTGAGAATCCAGCCCCACTGTCCGTCCTGCTCAGCCCTGGGCTGCGCCTGCCTGTCCCCCCTTGCAGCAGCATCCCCAAAACAGGGGTAGGACTCTTCTTCCCCCTTMCTCCCCATCCTCCCCCGGGTTTTGGGTTGTTTTGGGTGATTYTGGTTTTTATTTCAGCCCCATCTGTCTTGTTGGAGCAAAAGGAATCAATAAACGCAGCAAGCAGAGCTGGCCTGTCACCCACCTCCCCAGGTGGGAAAGGGGGGACAGACCCCTTGTGCTTCCCTCTGCCATGAGGTCCTGGCCCAGGATGCTGGGGGGGTCCAGTGAGCGCCTTTGGGACACAGCAGATCACCAGTGGGTGCTGCTGGGTAGAGGACAGTGATCCTGGGGTCCCCTAACCCCAGTAAACCCCAGCAGGGAGCCTGTGGGTGACAGCAGTGTCACACAACAGGGCTGTGGCTGTCACACCAGAGATGCCTCTACCCCAGCAGAGAAATCCTTCCATTAAGAGACAATTATTTTATTTAAGAAAATAGGAGAAATTCCCCCCGTGAGTCCTGGGGTAAGGGAGGCGGTGCCCGCAGAGCTGGGGCAGGCCCTTGCAGTGAAAGGACAGGGCAGGGGTGCCACAAYGGCCCCCCAGAGCAGCAGTGAGGTCTGTCCGACCCAGGGTCTGACAGGGGATGGGGACATCCCGCGTAGGAGGAGAGGTCCAGAGGCAGGGAGAGGGTCCCAATGTGTCCCCCCATGCCATGCAGAGCCAGCAAGGCGAGGCTGTGTGTGAGTGATGGTCAGGAGGGGCAGATCACCAGGCACAGCAAGGCTGGGGGCCCAGGCAGGCAGAGAAGCCCCCGAGGTCTGGGCTTTGGTCCTCACCAGAGCTCCAGCTCCATCTCCTGCCAGRCCAAATCTCCCGGGACACCCCATCCTTGCCACAGCGTCCATGAATCCAGCAGCAGCATCTGTCCAGCCCCAAAGGATGAGTGCGGAGAGCTCCATATCCCCCCAGTGTCACAGCAGCAGGCACAGATGTCCCCCAGAGTGGCTGGGATGGGGAGTGGGGCCGGGCTGGCCCTGGCTCCATGTGCAGGCAGCAGGGGATGAAGGCACTTGGGCTCTGCGCAGCCGAGTGCAGATCACTGCTCCAGGACACCCGGCCGGAGCAGGGCTGGCACTGTCCCCTGGGCACGGCCACATCCAGCCCTGCCCCAGGCCTGCTCACAATCCCCGCAGCCGCCGCTCCTGGTTCAGCTTCTGGAAGAAGGTCTTGCCGAATTCGTAAGTGCTGATCATGATGGCGCAGGCAGGTGCCACCTTGATGACGCGGGGCAGGAACCCTGTGAGGACAGTGCCATGAGCCCCGTGGTGACACCAGGGCACCCAGAAGCCCAGCACGGGGTGGGGGCACATCCTCACCTGCAAACAGCCCYCGGGTGCCAGACTCGGCACGGATCCGCTGCATGAGCAGCCAGGTGGAGGAAGGCTTGGAGGCTGTGACTGTGGGGAGAAGAGAGGGGTGAAGGTTGGGGGACACCCATGGGGAGTCCTGGTGGCCCCCCAGACACCTGCCCAGAGCCTGGCCCCTCACCTGGGTGCAYCTCACTGTCTCCCAGCTCGATCTGCCGCTGGGTTTTGACCACATCGAAGGGCAGTGTCAGCACCGCGGCCACCTGTGGGGTTGGCACTGGATGGTGAGCCAGACCTTGCAGCTCTGTTGTCACCTCCAGTTCCACCCTTTCCTCCCACAGGAGCCATCCCCGACAAGAGAGCCCCAGCACCCCAAACTCACCGTGCCGGAGATGGCYCCAGATACGAAGCTGACCATGAATGTGGCCTCGTCCAGCCAGGCCTGCCTGCAGAGCCACGTCCTCACCAGCTCGTAGTTAAACCAGTACAGAGCTGGGGGAGAGGAGACACTGCCACTGGGCACCCTGGACACACCAACCCTCCACACCAGTGCAGCACTGCCCTGGTCCCCCCATCTCCCCATGTCCCCACAGCCATACCCGAGAAAGGGACATCCCGCAGCACGGTGGGTCCCCATCCTCTCCAGAGGGACAGCCAGCCGTCCTGGGCCACCGCTGACTGGATGCAGACGCGCAGCTCTCGGTAGCTGAGCTGCCGGGACTGCATCTTGGTGCGGATCAGCTCCAGGGGGCTGATGACTGTCACAGCACCCACTGCGACAGAAGGGACATGGGGAGTGAGCTCTGTGAGCTCCAGCAGCCATCCCACAGCCATCAGTGCTGGGAGAGAGCTGCCACACTCTGCTGTGAGGACACAGAGGGACCACAGAGGGGAGGGGTACTCACGCCTGGCGAGGGCYCCGGCCAGCAAGGGGATGTAGTGGCCCCGGCTCCCCGTCCGGGCGTGCAGGTAGTCCCGCAGCTGGTCGTAGGTGGTGAAGTAAATGACRGTGGCTGGCACAGCCATGACTCTGCGAGGAGGAGAAGGGTGTGAGGGGCACATGTCCATCCCTTGGAGCGATGTGTGTGTGCCTGGGYAGGTGGTAGCACCCAAAATTCCCAAACTCACAGGGTGGGGGGCAAGCCGCTCCACAGAGACCTGATGCCCTCATAGCGTGTGATCTTCACAAAGGCATCCTGGGGAGAGAGGARAGCACCAGGGACAGGAGTTAGAGGGGGGACAAGGACAAACAACCCCCCAGAAAACACCCTGACACCCTTGTGGGATGGGGAGACCCCTACCAGCGTGCCGGTGAAGTGGGTGGGGGCCTTGTACCAGGCGGTGCAGCCGTTGCCRTTCTGGCAGACGTACAGGTGGTCCATGAGCCCGTTGCAGTASAGGAAACACTTCCCTGGGGCAGCAAACAAYGGYATCRYCATTACACAGGAGAGCCTTCCCCTMYGCCCCAKGCYCAGCACATCTGATCCCAAAGCCATCACCTCCTCCAGGAAGGAGCCAAACCCTCAGGGCTTGAGCCCAGTGGGGATCAATCCCAGACCAAGGCGAGGACAAGAACAACCCTCCAGCGAGGGACTGAYCATGGCCAGAATTATGGGGCAGGGGACACCCCGCTCCATGGCAGGGATGGGGACACAGCAGGACACACTGCCAGCAGAGGGAGAGGGCTCATGCCTTGCTTGGTCTTGGCTCTGCTGCCCTGGCACAGCAGGGACACCAGCACAGGCCCCTCAACTGTGCTCTCAAGCCAGGCACAGGGACACCAGGCAGTGGAAATCCAAGGGAACTTTGATGTAGCAACAGGATAGAGTGACAAGACAGCGGGACCACAGCCTGCAAGGCCTGCTGCACAACAGATCCCCAGAGATGTGGCACAGCCAGCTCTAAAGCAGGGCTGCAGAGGCAGCCTGGGATGGGGACAACGTCAGCCCCCACACYGCAGGGATGTCCCCACAGCCAGAGGAGCCCAAGCCACCACCAGTGGAGAAGCAAACCAGGATGAAGGCTTGGGAAAGCAAAGCCACTGGCAGCAGGAGCCCCTGGGTGTACTCACATGTGGCCGGCTGAGCGCCCCAGGGCACTGACTGCGCTGGCAACGCTGAAACACACAATGGGGACACACTGAGTAACCACACGGGGACGTGCCACCTCCTGGGGCTGGGGCACACGTGTGTGCTACAGCCCCGAGCCAGGCAGTGGGAGAGCTCTGTGGGTGAGGGGGCTGGATGCCTCCACAGCCACTTCCCAAGCAGTTCCTATTGTCACTAAACCAGTCCCTAGGGCCAGCCCCAGCCTACTGGCCCCACAGAAAGGGGCAGAGCCCATGGGGAGCAGCATAGCGACTGGAACAAAGGCAGTGGGGGAACAGCCAGCAGCTGCAGCAGGCTGAGCCTCTCAGCCCCACTGCGGGGAGGGCTGAGGCTGCTGGGCATAGCGCTGACCACCAGCACCAGGCTGAGGAGGGGAAAGGACAGAGCCAAGCTCAGCTCCCCCAGCAGGGCCCCCGAGCCCGTGAGGAYGAGGGGCCCATGGTAAACTGCCACACTCCAGAGCTGAGACATCCCTGCCACCAGCTCTGCCAGCTGAGACATCCCCACCCGAGCGGGGTTACCTTTGGAGAAGGGGGTCCTCTGGGCCTGCAGCCGGATCTTCACCACGTCCAGCGGTGTCACTGAGGAGACACCATCCTTAGCCATGACACCTCTGAGCCAGCCCCCCAYCCCTGGCACCCACCCTGCCGTGCTCACCGAAGAGGGAGGTGAGGATGGCGCCTGTCCCCGAGGCCAGCATCTGCTGCAGCGGCGTGATGCCCCCACCGGGGCTCGGTGACATCTTCTCAGCCATGGCACTGTCCCCCTGCAATGCACAGCAGAGGATGYTCGAGGTTGGGGGGTCCCTGTCCAGGGATGAGGTCCCCAGGGAGCCCCCCCAGCATCCCCACTGCAGCAATGTGAGGACAGATGTCCCAGCCCCACTGTGCTATCGCTGTGGCACAGGGCAGGCGAGGGCCCCCCATAATCAGAGCACCCTGAGAGGGGACAGGGACCGGCTCCCAGGGCCAGCCCAGCCCTGATAACACCCCCTGGCCTCACACTGGCAGCAGGCCCAGTCTGGCTAGAGAGGTGGAGACAGTCCAGCTTTCCCTGTCCTTGGGRAGGGAGGACTGTCCCCTCCCTGCACTTGGAAAATTAAGGACAGGAAGGAACAAAGTCCAAAGACCAGCCATGCTCCGACAACCCCTGCAGCTCTGCCTGGGATGGCAGCAGAGCCCAGTGCAGCCATGGAGTGACACCAGGGAGAGGGGATCCCCCTCGTGAGCTTGCAACAAGGACCCCAAAAAGGGTATAGGCATCCCAAACCTTCTGCCTGATCCCGCTGGGGCTTGGCAAGGCTGCAGCCTCCAYGGCTGGTGTGCTGCCCTCGGGAAGGAGGGGATATCACACCCTTCCCAGGGAGAAGGACATGGAGAAGTGACCCTCAGCACACTCAGCACCAGCAGCTCCCTCTCGCTGCAGTCTGGGGTGATTCTCATGCTGGGACAGGGACAGGGCCGTAGCAGAAGGGCTTCCAGGCTTTGGGAACCCACAGGATTCCTTAAAGCCTGGGAACGCAGCATAAAACCTCCACCATCTGACTCAGCAATTTGCAAGGTCAGAGAAGTCATAAATCTCTCCTTTATGGGCTCCGGAATCGTTGGGTGCCCAAAGCTGCAAGTTGGGACAGGTCTACYCTGAAGCCACACGTGCCAGCCCCACCGGGAGCTGGGTCTGTCCTGGCTCAGGTGCCACCCCAGTGGGAGAGCTGGATCCATCCCAGCACTGCACAAGTGCCAGCCCCACCAAAAGCTGGGCGTGTCGTGAACCCACACACTCCAGTCCCACCAGGATGTGGTGGTTCTTTGGGCACAGGGTGCCCATCACGGGAGSGCAGCGTGGTACGTGCCCCACTGACCCCACAGCCATTGCATAACCTTGCCATGGGCAGGGTTCCGGCTCCAGATCCTTCCCTCCGACCCAGCCCTCCTGCTCAGCCTGACGCAAGCTGGGGGAAATCTCTCGCTGCCAGCGCTGCAGCACCTGATAAACTCATTGCTTATATGTGACATGCCCCAACACAGCCCCTCTGTTGGTGTTGGGGGAGTGGGSCACCTCCAGGGCTTCCTGGCGGGTATAGTACGGTGACGATCGGGCAAAAAAGAAGGGAAAACAAATACAGCTTAAGAAGATCAATGCAAAAATTTTCCAGAAACGAAGGTCTGCGGGGAAGCTCAAGCGGCTCTTCCCGGACTGCAAGGGCGCAACTGGGCGTTCCAGCCCTGAGCCAGAAGCAAATCCTGCCGGCAGACCCCCGGCACTTCCTGGGCTGCTCCAGCCTCGGGGGTGTGAAGCTGGGTCCCCATTATCTATCCCGGGGGGTGCCCAGACAGCACCGGGGGCTCATCCTGCTGGGGCACAAACCRTTCTCCCCAAGAGCAGGGGACAGTGCTGATGTGTCCCCCAGGGCACACAGGACCCAGCCTGTCCCTCTGCCCTGTCAGCGCCCCCATCCTGGAGCCCGAACCCCTGTTTAGTTTCTGCACCCCCACCTGGAGCCTGCAGCACCCCKGAATTCGGAGCCCCCAGCCCAGGGCTGTGCCCCCCTCACCGGGGGACCCTCCCCTGGCCCTRCACCCCCTCTCTCGGGATCTGCAGCCCTGGCAATTTCGGGGTCCGCTCCCTCCCCGGAAGGGGAGCTCGGGGGTCCCCGCAGCCGCCTCCACGCCCACCACAGCCGCACGACCCCCGACACCGGGGGAAACTGAGGCAGCGGCCGCGCGTGCCGGACCACGAGGGGGATGTCGTGGGGGGAGAGGGTGTCGGGGGAAGTGCCGGGGGTTCCGCCCCACCTGCTCATTCCAGCCAGGCTCGGCGCGTCCCTCCGGGACCGGGATGGGCACGAACGGCGGCGGCGCCTTTAAGGAGCCCCATGGGCGCCCCGCGCGCTCCGCCGCGCGCCGGCCCCGCGCCGCACTTCCGCCCGCCCCGCGCACGCGCCCCGCGCGCCCCTGCGCCCCCTGCCGGCCCGGGGGGAGCGCGGCACCCGCGGGCACCGACAGCTCGGACACCAACCCGAGAGAAACACCTGGAACACATTGTACATCAACACCTGGGACACATTGTACACCAACACCTGGAACACATTGTACACCAACACCTGGAATACACTGTACACCAACACCTGGGACAGAAACACCTGGGACAGAAACACCTGGAACACATTGTACACCGACACCTGGAACACACTGTACACCAACACCTGAAACACCTGGAACACATTGTACACCAACACCTGGAACACATTGTACACCAACACCTGGGACACATTGTACACCGACACCTGAAACACCTGGAACACATTGTACATCAACACCTGGAACAGAAACACCTGGGACAGAAACACCTGGAACACAT